TCTAGCTAGACTCTTCCTACTCAGTATAGCATACACTGATAGGGAAAGGGTGAATAGCTGAAGCTTTTTACAGGCTGCTGCTGCCACCACACCTCACAGGACACCCCATCTTAAAGAGTCCTGGTTAAGGAGAACAGGTAATAACCATTAGGGCTGTGCGAAGCTTCAGTCACTGATTTGATTTGGCAGAGATTCGGCCCAATTTGGTGACCAAATCTCTGAATCCAAATCGAATTAGGAGACCTTTTAATCTCTCTGAATCGAATCGGAACCCTCCGAATTGATTCAGAGAGATTCAGAAAGATTTGATGATTCGGCCATAGACACAGCTTTAAATGTTTTTTCTACATAGCTCAAGGTACCAGGAGGCTTGTGAATGCTGAGATGCTGGGGCAGATGCAGCATCCCACAGGAGTGCGGGGAGGGGGTCCCCACCGCACTCAGCAGCAGACCCAGAAGTGGACCAGAAGCACTTCTGGTCTACTTCCAGGTCTGCCAGGGAGCATGCTGGGGTAGCCCCCCGCGCCCCTCTGGCTCAGTGACTGGTGCCTCCTGAGTCTGGGGGGGTCACATGGGGTTGCCCCACAGCCAATCGCTGAACCAGGGAAGGTGCAGGGGGCCCCCCCTGCGCACTCGGCAGCGGACCCAGAAGTGGACTGGAAGTACTTCTGGGTCCACTGCCGAGCATGGGGGGGGAGGGGCTCCATCTGCCCCACCATCGCAGTGTTCATGAGCTGTGCCTGGTACCTTGAGATATGTAGAAAAAACATTTAAAGCTGTGTCTATGGCCAAATCACTGATTCTCCGAATCAGCATCGAATCTTCAGATTTGTGTTTGGCTGAATCGAATTGGAACAATGATCTGAATCAACGAATTGAATCATTGTCCCCGATTCAGGCCGAATACAAATTCAAATCGAATACGGCCCATTTCGCACACCCCTAATAAACATGTGTCATCATTCATGGCAGTGTAGTTTTTTCTGATAATTCAAAACGTGAACTGAAGTTTTTACAGGTAACAGAGCACAAGGAAACAGTATTTTTCAGAGATAATCTGTAGTATGGTGGCAGTTATGGTGCTTCGTGTTACAGCTTCCCTGATGTGAGCTTGAGGCTTGGTTCCATGCCAAAGACCATCTCCACTTGAGATGGGCAACTGGTCACTTGGGCTGGGGAGTCAAAGACAGCTGGACATGATACTGGCCACTTCACTCCCCTTGTGTGGCACAGGCTATAAAAACTGTTGTGCTTTAATCATGCAAGGCCAATGGGCTGTGAAGGCTAGATGGACCTTTTATCTTTTATCTTTTTATTTTTAATCTACTCTAAGCTTCTCAATCATCTTATATTACTTTTCTTGACCCAGAAAGAATTTGTACACACAAAATGTCCAGGGTCACAGTACAACTGAAAAAAAAATCCCTGGCATAGTTTTGTATAACATTTATAACTTTAAACTGTTCTAATTTATAACACATATATGTGTGACATTTACTGTCTTTCAAATCACACTGTTTTTGGTATGTGTCTTTTCTTCTTTGCCTATACATGTTGGGGCCTTTCTGAAACACATTACTTCGCTCATTGGCTCCTATGCTTAGGTGCAAGAGCCCCTTTAATAGGTGACACAGCATACATTTACAGCTGTTGGGAGGGTCAATACGTGACCAGAAATGTGTCTTGCAGGTGGCTGATTTTCACTAGAGGTCTTATTATGGAAAAGTTAGGAAATCTTGTGTTGTTTAGGTGGGTGATTCCACTAGGAGGTGGTAGCGGGTAAAGGTTTTAATGGTGTTTTGAAACTCGCCTTTGGCATCACATCTAACTTTGATAAAAAAGAGCAAAGTGAAAGCTATCAGATGTATGTGCAATGTGCTATAAAACATGTGCTCTAAAACGAAGGTAATATAACTTTCAGACTAATTTGATTGCTAGTGCAGATGCATGGCAGCCAGCGCTCTATGGCTGATACATTAGCAGTGAATGAAACAAGTCTGGTTTATTCTATGTTTAGTAAACAGAGCATGAGGTTGGTTGTAAATGGTCTGTTTAGCAGAATAGATTGAACATATGAAAAAATTATTCACTATTTGAACACTTAAAACCCACACATGTCATTTATATCATTCAGGCACTCAACATAAAAGGTTTATTGTTTTTGGCAAAATAAGCTACAAACATGCTTAATTGGGATGCAAATTTAATGCACAGTTTAACACTGTTGACAGCTAAAAGACTCATATGGACATTTCAATACATTTTTCCACTTACGTTACAGATGGCAAGGAGCAGATATATAGTCAAGAGCCAAAACTATTTAAAAAGTGTAACATTTTTATTTCACAATTTTATATGCTTGTCAATATTATAGGACTGACTTTGAGTTTTCCTTCTCTTGAGAAGTGTGTGAAATGAAGAAATTAGTTTTTGTAATGAAATCAAGTATGTGAAGATACTTGAACAGTCTAATCCTTTTAGCTCTAACTGTAAACTATTTTTTCTATCAAGTCCAAGTTAGAGGTTTGTAGTTGTTAGCTTCTCTTGCTTTCCCATTTAAGAAAATGAATTAGATTACCGATAATAAGGAATTATTGAATATTTTTGTTCTCCAGCCACTGAAGTAGAGCTTAGAGTTCAAGACAATGTGAAATGTCTTTCTGGCTTGCACCAGATATGTTAGGCCTCATCTATTTCCATTAAGATATATGGAAAGATTCTCATTAACTCTAAAGATAGTTGGATTAAGCCTGTTGTGGTCCAGCTTTGTGCAAATTTCTCTATCATTTGCAGTTAACACAATCTAATCCTAACCATCTACACCTTTGATGAAACAATGTGGCATCATGTACATTTGGAACATCTGAGTAGAACTAAATTAATTTACCTTTTATTTTGCTGATTATTTTAAATCTATGGTTCCAGGGCTGACCAGCTCACTGGATCATATAAACGCTATGATAACTCCTCTCACTCCCCTTAAGTATGTCCCTGAATTTGGTCTCATAATGGATCGAGTGATTACTAAGAATTTATTTTTGTGTAAAAGACACTGAGTCATGGTTATGCCAAATCCTATCACAATTTCTTGACTCTCATGCCCAAACAGTTCATTATTTCCTCAAAAAATCTCCTTTTTATATTCAGAAATGTATAGCACTATATAATCACATAAGCTCATAAACAGTATCATGGAAAATATATATCTAAATAGCCACTAGCCACATAGCATTTCTCACCTTTTTTCATCTAATCTAAATAGGTTTAGTTTTAATCTAAGTGCTAACGTATGCATGTGCCTTGAGCTTTCAGAACACATTTTGAATGTGTACTATCAGAAATTAAAAATAACCTAAAAGGAACTTGTAGAAACTTGCATGTTAGCTGCTATTGAACTGTTTGATTTATGATAAGAATTTGCAAATAAGTAAATGGAGATTTTCTTCATTTATATTCCTATTGCCAACAAAATTATGAGGCTACTTCAAATACAGAAAGGGGATCGACAAGAGCCACTTCCATGTAGTGATCTCTGGCAACGTCTCTGATGGCCAAGAGCTCCCGAATCAACAAAAAAGCCAAAGTGTACAAAGATAAAGATACAGACCCCATTTTGTCATATGAAAGAAGAAAGTACAGAAAGAAGGCATTGCTTCATCTGGGAATAAAAATTGATACCTTTTGATGTAAATTACAGCTTCTTGTATGAATATCACCAGCTATTATACCTACGATAGTTTAAGCTGTCATTGTTGTAGCATTACATTAGTTGTCTTAGTATAGTACTGGAGCCATTAATAAACCATTAGTCATTGCTTGTACAACTCTTTAGGAAGTTCCTGGAACTCTCATTCTTTCACTAGCACATTTTCTTTTTGTTGCATCATCAGAAGCCTTCAAGGCTGCTTAAAGAAAATTGTTTTATGTGCAGTTCCAACTACAAAGACTCTCTCTCTAACTTAGCTGTCATGGTGAAATTTGCCCGTGGTGCATACTCTATAAAAATCTATCCACCACATTAGTTCTATTTAAGCACTCTTTCTGAATCTAGACTTCTGCAGACAAATAAATATACTGCTTTGTCCATGGGCACTAAGTTAAACTTTCTCTTTAATGAACAGACAGTGTACAGCCAACATACCCAATCTTCTGCAGTTTGTGCAATCTTCTGCACAAACCTGAAACCCCTACCATGGAAATTTATAGGAAAGTATGTTCTAGAAAGTATAATTTTACCCTACTGAGCCATTTTGCTATTTGTAGCACTATTGGCTGCTATGGGAAAACGCTAAGGTCAAGATTTTCAAATGTAAGTGCCTAAAATGCACGTAATGTAAATGTAATTTATGTCTATTTCCAGATTCTTGACACTTACAGAATAGTGTGGAGGGAACTGACTCAAAAGGAAAATTCAAGCCACATGTATATTTTACAGCAGGGATGTCAAACATAAACCTGCGGAGTTATGTCATCTGGTCCATGAGGTTTCCATGAGGAGCCAGGAATTTGGGGGCAAGCCTCACTGTTGAAAATGAGGATCTGGAAGCCCATGGGGCCATGTTGGTGGTGGGGGAGGCCAATAACAACTGTGTTAAACCCTGCGGCTCTCTGACAGCACTCCATCCCCCCCTCCCCCACTGCCAGAGATGTGTGGGGATCCAGCCTACAAGGACCCTGACACCCAGATAAGGCCAAGGGGCCAAACCAGTTCGACATCCTTGCTTTACAGCAATATTTATCACTCACTTTGTTAAAAAGTGAGAACTGTAAATACTTGTTTTGCTATGAAAAATCTTAACCTAAGTTTAAATCAAATCTAAATTTTAATCTAAATGTAAAACCTGAAAATCTAAAACATTGTAGAACTTCCAGAAATAGAGAACTATATTAATAAGTGTTTCAAAAAAGACCACAGATTTACACAGGAGGGTACAGAATTAATTAAACTGTCACATGCATTAGCTCTATTTTTGTCTATTATACCCTTGTAAAGCACTTACCTTATTGACTGGAATAATGTTTTTCACATTGAAGTAGAATCCAAAGTAAACCATATTAAAAACTCCATGACGGCCCAGGGTTGCAGTGAGACCTCGGTTGAGTCCTTGGAATCCCAAACCATTAGTTTTAATAATTTGCCGAGCTTGTGAAAAGGTAGATGGTTGCTGTACAAGTTAAACAAAAGGAGAATGAGACCATTGTTATAAATGGGAAGTGTAGCAAGAAGTCTTCATAGTCTAGTTTCAAACTGGTTGATTATCACAGTGTTGCCGACTCACATGATTTGAATTGTTTCTCCTGCAATATTGGGTACATTTTTTTCATAAAGCCCCAGATCCTAGAATCTTGTGATTACATGAAAATCACAATTTTCATTAAAAAAAGTTTTAAGTCTTTGTTGTTGCAGAGAAAGCCTTGAAATGGGTAACCCGAAAGAGCTTAGACCAAAAGGTGAAGAAAATAATCCTCAAACAATTTTAAAAAATATAATGTTTTAAACACATCTCATAATATTTTATAGCTGAACTCATGTCTTTTAATGAGTCAGATTAGCATTACTACAAACAACAAAGAGGCTATGCTGCCAATATTGCAATAGATGAAACATTCACACAGACTATATCACAATTCATCTATGTAGTAAAAAGATGAAAACAGCTCTTGTATATAGAGACAAATTCTCAGCAGGTTCTAAGGCATCCAACACCTGTCCTAAAACTCTATCTGAGAATTTCCTTTGCACAGGAGTATGTTCAGCTGACAGTGTCCTCCTTGCTCTAGGACACCAGGTATTGAGAACATCCCTAGCTGAAGAAGGACAGGACCAGAGCATGATGTTTTGGCAATTCTGGAGAGTGAAGCAGCTCCTTTGGAGCCTTTACTTGCTGGCATGTAGCCACATGGCTATTCTAACCTTCACTAAGGATAAGTTCATTCCCTGAGAGCCTCCAGATTCAGTGTTGCGGGTGAAGTAAAAAAGTGACAGGAAACCATATATGCATCTTTCCAGGTGTGCTGAACAGTGTTTTGGTGCAGGTGTGGTTCCTGCTCATAGTGTCAAAGTATTAAGTCAGTGTTATATAAGTTTACACAACAGATTTTTAGTGGAAACTACTGGATGGTCAGCACTTTTGAAACTTGAGTCATACAGTCAGACTTCTTGATCTGGATTCAGGAGTCTAATTTTAGGCAGACAATTATGAAAATCTCAGTCTATATTACTGTATTATAAACATATTAAAAATATAGCTAAAATTACTCAACGTTTTCCTGATTAAATAACTTAGTGTAATCATATTTTGCTTTCTAATGAAATATTTTACTTTAATGAGAGATGCTGGGTTTTGAAAATAAGTACATTCATTTAAATCCTTCAGTGTAGATTTAAGAACCCTGCTTTGAATCCGTTTTGAAAATCTTGACTATAAAGAATAAAAACCCTATTACTTCAGAGAATAAGCCAAACAATAACTCAAACAAGCAGGGAAGACATTTCCCTATGGGCAGGGTATCACAGTAATGCCCATTATAAAGATTCTACACTTTCCTCCAAAGTATGCAGTACTAGTCACTATCAGTACACCATGTACACCAGGGCAAATACTGTGTTCCTCAATGTATTGTGCCAGATTTTACGCATTGCTGTCACAGGTCATCTTTCACATTTTAACTCCTTTATTTTCTAATCATAAGAAGAAAAAAGCGCATTTAAAAATGTTTGCTAACCTGTGTTTGGATTTCTCTAAACCATAATGCCACCTTTGCGTAACCAAATATTTAATTAGAAAGGCAAAACAAGACTTCCACTAGGATGCTTAAACAGGAAAATGTAGAATGATTTTGACTAGAACTTTGTAAACACGGCTAATTTCAATATACTTATTTGTTTAATGGGCTTCCATTTCAAATTCTCACCCTGGCAGATCAACAGTACCAGCCAAATGATCCCAATTATATCCGACACAACATATGACTGCTTATTTAGGTGACAGCAGGTTTAATTTTCTTTAATACTTTGTTTCACTCTGCTTTTCCTATTTAGCAACTAGTATTGACCTGATAATGTTTTGCTATCTATCCCTATCTGTAGAAGTAAGAAACAAACAAGCCCTGTTTTATTATAATTTCCTTCTAGCTACTCAGAGACTCAAAGCTGTATGCTATAATTCAGTATCTATCTTGAATGTACACAGAGAGCAATATCCTTGTTCTTGAAAAAAGTTAAGATGGGATCTTTAGGGATAATTTGTGGTCATGAACTCAGTTTCAAGTCTCAGCTCAAAAGTGAAAGTTTCGAGAGTACAGTGCCCACTGCCTATTACTGAAGAATTGATGCACTGTGACTTGGAGGGGGAAGAATGCTAGCTGGTGAACACCTAATGCCAGTTTCAGCAGTAGGTGAGTTTTCCTTGGCATAACACAAGGCTGGTGCTAGGTTCACAATCTCAAAAAATCACAGCTCAGAGTTTTGTGGCTGCTAGCAGCTGTCCATGAATAACAAACTTGTGTGGTGCTTTCACTGGGGGCATACCTTGATGTTAGTGTTGTGACGTGAAATTGTATATACTTGCATTATGAATTGTTATGGGTGTGAACACAATATAGATTTAATCCACAGTGTTAAATCTAGAATTACAACATATTATTAAAATAAAGGGTTTGGGCAAGGAGTACTGCATTGGGGTTTTAGGTCATCTTTTGCTTAACCCACCCCCACTTGAATTCTGGGGCTGCTGCAGGTTAAACTGAGTAAGTTAGAGCAGCTTCAGATTTAGTGATTAGTAATAGCTCCTCAAGGGGTTGCTTTTGTTGGCTACTCTAGAGAGAGTGAATTGTTGTCCAGCCTCAGTTCATTCATAAGAAGAGATGCTGATGTCGCATTGATGATGCAGCCTCTATGCAAGCTCAAGATTCCCAACTGTTAGAGAAATACTCAGTTGCTCACTGACAGTATCTTTGAGTCCCCCTTGCACTATTAAAGCATCACATAGGGGACTCAGTGGCTCAGTATTTGGCTCATAATACATGTCTGTATTTCCTCTATATTCTTTTTTGTCTACAGTTTCCTATTCCACCTTGTCAAAATGGTAAAGCTTATAGAAAGACCAGTATTTTGTTCAGAGGAAATTCTGTTTTATGAATATGGAAATTCTGGTTGATTGTAAAGTTAACCTCAAACTTTAACTTATATTTAACAAAATATCGAGAAAAGAATGGAACAGTTACCGTACCTCTGTGAAAACATTCCGATTGGCCTGCAAGCTAACCTTTACTACTTCAAAAGGGTTAACCACAACCGCTTCTGTTAATCCAGATCCCAAGCCAGCAACTGCAAATGTCTAGAAAGGTTAAATCAGTCAATATTTAAAAATCAAGTTTTCATGAGAGCTGCGGTAAAATACTCCATACATCATAGTACAAAGCGGAATGATATGATGAAAACTGAGAGACCCATGCTAATGCAGCAGTATACCATTACTAAACAGTTTTAGTCCTTGATTAGATGTTGACAGTTCATGAAGAAGAAATTACAAAAGCCACAAACCACATTCCAAAAAATGCAAAATAAAATGTCGAAGTCCCATCAACAACAAATCCTCTCTTTAGCTGGGATAAAACCTGTATTAAGATTTAAGATGCACACATGGAAAAATACTGCTCTCCAGTTATGTATGTGGAGAGTTTGACTTCAGTGCATCATGGGCATATTTACACATGCCATGGGGTAAAGGTGGGGGGGAGGGGGTCCTTAATTACAGAAGCTCTGAGAGTCACTTTAATTAAAGCTCCTGCAGGACTTGTTCAACAAACTTTAGTTAAAGCACCCCTGCTGCCATTTTGAAGTGCGGGGACACTGATACATGTGATGCGGAGGCTCCTGGAGCATGCTAATTAGCACGTTTCAGCAGACTTGATTATCTTTGATGTGTGCTAATTAGCATGTGTTGGAGCAGATGTCCAGCACATGTATAGGTACCCAATAATTTTACTTTTGAAACATAGCTGCAGTTATGAAGCACAATAAAACAACTGTATTGAGCAGTAAAATTTTCTTTAAAAAGGAGTTAATTTTGTAAAGAACACTGTGAAGAATTTTTTCCAGCAAATTGCCCAGTTAAAAAAGGAAAACCCTTTATGGGTAAATTTCAACCCTGAAAAGGCCCAAATGAGACTTAAATGATGCACAAGACAGGTGCTGGTGCTCTTCACAGGTGTGCATTTCATTGGCTAAGAAATTGAGGGCACGGCAGCTCTGTGTAAAGACTGCAGAAGCTGGCCTGTGGTTTGTAGTCAAGGTGGAAACATGTTATTTAGGAAGATAAACAATGTCTTACTTTGTTCATAGTAGATAAGTAAAATATCCAGGCAATTTCAAAATAGTGCATTTTAGATGTCCATTTAAATTCTCACTGCCAGCTCTCTCCTACTTACAAACCTGTCTCAAACCTAGAACAGAATATTGAGTAGTACATTTGCTAAACTAGAAAAGGAGGAAAATAATAGTCACCTCTCAAAGGAGGTCAGACTGTGACTGGCTCTGAATGAATGTTCAAGAAGGGAAAGGGTAGAAGGAGCAGTCATAATCCTAGCCATTGTGTACCTGAACTACGTGACACTGCAAGTGGGACTACGTTTCCCATATGGAGTGGGAACATGGCCCTGACCCCTTCAGCATCATCTCTTGGATTCAGGCCACAGGGAATAGGGTGGAAATGCATTCTGCCTCTTTCCTGTCTCTGACAAAGAATGACTTGCATTTGGAAGCTTGTCTAACTGTATCCCAACTATACAGTTGATCCAATAAAAGATACCACCCTAAGAAATCCTTGCCTCTTTTTAATGAGACACACTGCCTTGGCATGAGCTATGCCAGGGTACCCAGAACCATACCTACCTCAACCTGAAAGTACATGGAACACATCTGAAACCTTTTAGATTTAGGTCTTCCTTGCATGGCTATGACATTAAAGTGAAGTGAAGCTAATAGCAATGTAATACATTTAAAAATACAGCAACATTTGTTGTTCAGTACATCTGCTACGTGACTCAGAGCTGCTCTTTGTGAAGAATGAATACACTACGTTTATAGGTTTTCAGCACACTCTCTTTGGGAAAAGGCCGCCACGCACAAAAACCCCATAAACCCTTACACTTGCGAGAGAGACAAATAGCAGCCTCTTCCCTGAATATGGGAAACTGCAAATGATTATAGTGTCGCATAAATACTGAAGAGGAAGAGGAAGTTTCATGTAAATTGTTTACCATCCTGTGTGAGGGGCGGATTTGGAAGGCAGTAGCATACAGAGTGAACCAAGGGTAGTGATAAATTCAATATCTCTCTGTTTTATGCCCTGTGCTGATATGATATAGCCTAGTGGAGAGTCACTCGTTCTTACAAGACAAGTTGCCACATATTTCTTCAACTCTCACAAACTTATATGTTGAGAGCCAAAACTGTAAAAAGAATTATAATCCAAAACTCATCTGACCAAGAAATCTATAATCCAGATGTTCAGGATTTTATTATTTGTTAAATATACTCTTCCAAATATTTCACATTTTTAACCTGGAATAAAACTCAGCTACATGGACTATTATAAACAGGATACAGGAGTCTTGATAAAATGAGAAGTGTTTTATACATGACAAAATGAAAAATCAAAATAAGATAAAATGAGTAGGTAGGGAGGCAAGGAATTAAACATAGAAATACTGAAATGAGAATTGGTGGTTTTCAAAACCTTTTTTTAATTGAAATGGCCTATTTTAAAACCATATTTTTCATTTTTATAGAAAAAATGCTGGGCCCTTTTTCAGAATTGTATTGAAAATGGTATCAAAATGGTTATTGATTTTCTTTCAAAACAATTTCTAAAAATTCTTATGTCCACTGAAAATGGGTAACTGGTAAACAGAAAATGTCAATAAAAAAATCAATAGCATTTTTTATATTTTTGAGGAAAATATTTACACAAGTCTAAAAAAAGGTATGTTTCAAACACTGTAAAATGAGAAAAAAATTGAAGTATTGTTTAAGAAAGATTTTAATTCTTTGATAAGCTTTATCTGAACTGTATTTACTATATTACCTTATCTTGCCAGGATATTGCATATTATGCTTTTTCTCTTCTTTTCATAGATATACCTCCTTTTCTTCTGTTTGTAAATCATTTGGTGATATGTTGTTTGTTTTGCTACATCATAATAAGTTAGTGGTTTTGCTACTCCCTGAGTGTGTTTACACGTGCATTAATGTACCTTCTCTAAAGTGCATTAAATTTAGTACTTCCAATGTGAGTACTCCTGCAGTAGTGCATTTGCACTTTTTTTAGTGATGCTTAATGCACAATAGACTATTTTACTGAGCATTAGTGGAATGTCAAGGTTTTTTTATGTGATGCTTTAATGCATAGTAAAATAGTCTATTGAGCATTAAAGTGCACATGTAGACATGCCCCTTGAATATTTCAGTTACTATATTTGGAGCAAATTACCACATTTACTTCTTTTTGTGGCATGTGGGTCATCATAAATTTTGTTTCAATGTGTTTTTACATTAGTGTAAAATTACCACATTTTTCCTTGCCAATGAAATATCTGAGTTCAGAGAATATAGGTCTGCTAGGTAGGGTATTATCTTAGATCATAATAAAAGAAGAGGTTTGTTATTTAAACCTGACTTTACTGCCAATGTGTTGCATGTTATTTGTTGTTTAGTATTTATATGGTCAGATCTTAAAAAAGAATGTCTCATGGTACCTTATTACACAAACAGTCCCACAAATGAAAGGGACTACATGAAGAATAAATTACCACTAAATATAAAGGTACAGAATCAAACTGTAAATATGGAAATACATAGCTCTTCACAAAAATCCACTGTATCAGCATAAACAGCCTTGCTATGTTAATATACAATATGTGTTACTATTTGCTTTAACAACAAATTTATGGTTCTGAGATGAAATCCTGTCTACTGAAATCAGTCGGAGATTTGCCATTAGGTTCAGTAGGCTTAGAATTTCACTCTTAATGGTTTATTCTTATGTTGAAAATTAGGGCTGGGCAAAGCTTCAGTCGCTGATTTGATTCCGAGGAGATTTGGCTCAATTCAGCAGCCAAATCTATGAATCCAAATTAAATCAGGAGACCTTTTAATCTCTCTGAATTGAATCAGAACCCTTTGAATCGATTCAGAGAGATTCAACCATTCAACCATAGACTGCTTTAAATAATTTTTCTACATACCTCAAGGTACCAGGCGTGGCTCATGAACGCTGAGGTGGTGGGGTGGATGGGGCATCCCATGGGAGTGTGTGGGGGGGTCCCCCATATGCTTAGCAGCAGACCTGGAAGTGGACCAGAAATATTTCCTGTCCACTTCTGGGTCTGCTGTGGAGCATGCGGGGGACCCATCCCACCCCCTGGCTTGGCGACTGATGCCTCCTGGGGCTGGGGGGGCACCCAGGGTACCCCTGTGGCTGATTGCTGAGCTGGAGAGGTGTGGGGGTCCCCCATGCACTCAGCGGCAGACCGAAAAGTGGACTGGAAGTACTTCCAGTCCAGTTCCAGGTCCCTCGCCAAGTGTATGGAGGACCCCCACTGTGGGATGCTCCATCCACCCCACCATCTCAGCATTCATGAGCCACGCCTGGTACCTCAACGTACGTAGATAAAGCATACAAAGCTGTGTCTATGGCCAGATCGCCGATTCTCTGAATCAGAACTGAATCTTCAGATTCAGCCAAATCGAATTGGGACAGTGATCCGAATCAGCAAATCAAATCACTGTCCCCCAAATTGGGCTGAATCCAAATCCAAATTGAATACTGCCTGCTTTGCAATCCCCTATTGTAAACCCTTACGGAAAAGAGATCTTTTTTACACGTTTGCTCTGAGCCCTGATGGTGGTTCTAGGAACTAGCGCCATACAAGTAAATAATAAACAAGATCAATATATTTTTAATATTTGCAAGTATGAAAAATAATATCCCCAATATGGCTCTATATTGTTCATTGCAATAGAGTTTAACAAATTTTATGCAATAACATAGTAAATTATCATTAGGAAGACATTCCAATTTATCTATCATATTATAAGTTGCATATCATAAATAAAAATCAAAACAATAAAAGTTTTTAATAAACGAATCTGTCTTGAAGAACTTTGGATTACTTGGTCCATTTAATCTATATGCTATCTTGATATTTTTAATGCTGGGGAGAGATACAGACCCATCCAATAACTGCTTCATAATAAGAACTCTAAGGCATGTATTCATACTTACCAGTCCTGGTGGGAGCGTAGCATATCCTAGTAATTTCTTGTATTGTTCGAAGGTGAAAAACTATTAAAAAAAAAGTTATGTTTCAACTTCAATGGCGGACATAAAAATTTATAACAAATTATTATTATTATCTGATTTAGGGAAAAAAGGAAATAATGAAGGCCTGATTTTTCAAGAATTTCTACACTGTGTAACCATGCTCCTCTGTGAATTATAAACATAAAATACTGCAGTTGCACATAGGAAAAAAAACTATATAAGCTGTAAGGTAGTGGAGAATCTGGTAATTTAACTTTTTTGCTTTGTAAATGATACAAAAGACTGTACAGTTTTACATAAGAGCAGACTTGCAGTACCTCGTCTTTATTTTCAGTTTACTAAACTTTCACTAGCATCTCATTTTCAGATGCTGCTACATTAGTTATAGAATAGCTGATGTAATCTGTTCTAGCAAAAAATGAACCATACAATTTCCATTCAGTGCAGCTATTTCCAGTTTTGTTAGGCATTACAGATGCAAAGATTCACAGAAGTTTAGGGCTCGAAGGGTCCTCGTGAGATTATTGGGTCCAGCTCCCCTGCTCTGGGCAGGAAAGACTGCTGGGGTCAAATAACCCCAGCAAGGTGTGCATCCAGTCTCCTTTTGAAGATCTCCAGGGTAGGTGCGTGCATCTATTTGTAATTTCTCATTTTAACAGATTTGACATCTATGCACTTTTTTGTAGTCTTCCACTGTAAATTAATATTTTTTCTTCCAATTTTTACCACCCTTTAAAAATATTTTTCCTAGTCAATAATTTACTGTTGCTTAAGGGCCTATGAATAAGTGGCTAAGAAACAGGACGTGAACAGATTTAAGATGGAAATAAAAAGAAAGTTTCTAATCATCAGGAAAGTGAGAGTCTGGAATTGAATTCCAAGAAGAATGGTATGGGAAATTAATCTAACTAATTTTAAACTGGAGCTGGAGCTTATGACAGGATTGCCTGCAACAGCAAGGGACTGAACTCAGTCATCTAAGAGCTACCTTCAAATTCCTACATTAATTATATTCAACAAGTTTTTTTTTTAAGCCCCATATTGCTGTGGTAGGGTTGGAGTAATGTTTTGGCCATGATGGTCCAAGAAATATGCACAAGGTGTGGATTTTCCAGGCTGATGCTACCAGAAATAATGAGAATGGTAAACAACATCTTCTGCAGTTATAAATAGCCTGCTAGAATGATGAACTAGGAGACTATAGAATCTTAGTGGATAGAGAGGGCAGGAAGAGGATAAAATTCCAGGCAGAATTTGGAGTTATTACAAGTAATATGCCATGTAAAGTTACAGGTTTTACACTTTTGAGAAGAAGGGTATGCAAGGCCTGGGACTATAAATCCTATTAGATATGTTTTCTATAATTTACCTACAGGTGTCTGCATCTCAAAAGCAAGCAACCACCAACCTCTTATCTTCCTGACCACTGACTATAGAGTGCTTCAGTGCTGGAGGTCCCCTGGCTTTCCAATATTCTTAAACAAGAGACTGCTAAATGTGGTATTCCCCAGCAAGCTATTCACGTGGCTTCCAACTACAAGGCCCACTACTAGATGCCTCAGTCTGTTTTGCCATACTGAAGGAGGCAATGGGAAGCAAGGCCAAATTGATGCAAGTCTCCCAAGAAGCACTGAGGAATCGAAGGTTTTTATTAAACAGAAGGAAATAGTTAATCTGTGATGCACAAGGGAAACATCCTAATTCTCTAGGACTCCATTTATCACTTTCATGGAGTTCTGTGCATAAAACAGCTTTTGCTGTGTACCACCTACACAAGAGCATGAGAAACAAAACATCACTTTGGCATTTCAGCTTGGTGGGATGGAGACCTTTCTTGTTATAGCAGGCTTGGCAGCATTTTCTGAACCAGACATGCTTTTAGTAGAACAATACTAAAACCAGAAAATATATATTACAGCTCTGTGTTGCAAAATATAAATTTGAAAGTATGAAATCTCAGTGCTTGATACTCAAGTCACAGGATATAAATAACTTTTTGTCCTTAAACGGAATTACTGGTATTACTCAAGAGAAATTACCTAGAATGTCCACAAAATGTATAGATTTAAGAACAATTTACTACACATAAAGTAAATATGTTTAAGATCACTGGAATAAGCTTGCTGTTAATCAAACCAAATAAACGTGTTAAGTTAGGGCTAGCAATATGGAGAAGTTAAATAATCATGAAATGCACCCACTTGTAGAGCATGCCATAATTTCCTGAATCACTTTTACCTTTTGAATAAAATAAAATCTCTGGAAAAGTGTCAGTCATTGCAAGGTCAATTACTACACTGAATCAAATTAGGGGGTTTTTTTGTGGTAAAAATTGCTTTCTTCTCTTTCCAACATCTTTCTAGTCAGTGTTATCCTCCTAACCTTTCATGGAATTTATGGTATTCCTTAACGTTTTCCATAGCCTCACAGATCTGTAAAATGGCTGTAATAAAGGAAGAAATATATTACCTAGCAATTTTTTGGTCTTAACATTTTTACCTTAGAATATCAATAGCTTCCTAGAGTCATAAATAAAAGAACTACTTCACAAAAACTCTGTTTCAGGTTCCACAACTATTTTTTAAAGAAAACTAATAAATACCAATAAAATGCAACATAAAAGTAGCTGTATGTATTAACCTGACTAATGTATGAATAAGGTGTATGATACCTGAGAGCATCCAAACTGTCTTTAATAACAAAACGTAGTTTTTTTTCACTCTATAATTCTATTAAGTTAATAGCCCTCACAAAATCCAAGGATAAGTATATATAAAATATATGCTTTCATATATCTAATAAGCAATACTGTCCATCTGGCAAAGATACACTTTAATTCAAGTTAAACAGAAAATAGCCAAAGTACTTACCAGATGTCTCAATAACTTTAGTGTAAAATATGCTTGAAACAAGATGTCTGGGAACATATGTACAATATATATTTACCCCAAAAGTTCATCTGTTAACCATTCTATTGGCACCATTCATTTCTTTTCTCCAAGTCCAAACTAACTCAGGGTTATAAAGTATGACTTTTCATCTTTCAGAAATAAAAGCCTTTTTTTTTAAAGAAAAAGAGAGAAAGAAAGAAACACCAATACAGAAACACAAAGGAGCTAATATCTTAAAAAGTGTGGTTGTGTTTCCAACACTGAGCACTCAATTAAAATATTGCATCAGAACACCTTTGTTTTGATAGCTTGCTTTTTACATGCAAATAGCTGCTTCAAATTAATGCATTATCCCAGGTACATGTTGCTATACTTCTTCTCAGCACAAACTCTGCCTTGTTTATTTATGTTGGTGATCATTTATCAGTACAGTAGTTTCATAATCCAAATCAATCTTTCTGCACACTTTTATAAGACATGAATAGCCCATACAATATGAACTGTACAAAATGCTCCCCATAAAACAAGAAATGATATTGCCACAAACTGAAAATTGCCCTTCCTCAAACTTCCTCGAAGGTGAAAAATAGACAAAAACTAGACTTCCCCTAACTACTGCTTAGTTCTGTTAAACTGGAGTGGGCAGGGCATTCCAAATGAGCAATGGTTTTACAGCTATGCATATTTAAATGTTAAAGTAGCATCCTGGGCACTGACAGACATACAGCTCCCTGCTGTAACAGCAAGTGCCATAAGTTATATTGACCCTCCCACCCTCGACCCAACAGATGTTCACTGTTAGGGGAGAAGCGGGGGGAGGTGGGGGGAGTACAAGATCAAGCTCCACTTTGGAGCTGATCCAGGAGAAGCTGTGCATCTGCAGCCTCTCTCCCCTAGCTACATGCCCCCCACAACTCCAGTGCTGTTGGCAGGATGGAAGGGGGGAAGGGAGGGGAGGGAGCTCTCGTCTGGGGTCTGCCTAGCCTTATGGGAGGAGGGAGAGGCTCCAATCGACTCATCAGCCCTCGCCCCCCCCGCACAGGCTGGACAAATTCCAGACTTGAGCTCCCTCCCCTCCCTCTCTTTCTCCCCCTCCCATCCTTTAGACAGCACCAGGGGTGGGGCTGGACTACAACAGCTCAGCCCCAGTTGGCACAGGGGCAAACAGAAGTTAATGAAGGCACTCGGCTTTGGAGCACCTTCATCTGAACCCCCATTAAATGAGGGTTAATTTAATGCATGATTGGGCACTTCTAAAGCACTCTGCAGCCACACACTTCTGTTAAGGTATGGCTATAGAGAACTTTAAAGGGGCCGATCATGCAACAAATATCACTTCTGTCTGTGGTTTTTATTGATCTCTCGACTAGTTTGTCTGCTTGCAGAAAAACCCCAGAAAAAAATAAGAGAAAAAGTTTGATGAATTGTGATGATTTTAGATTTTCTGTTTTAAAACCATATTTTTTTGCACGGGATGGGGGATGGAGGATGGGAGAAGACTCATGATTGTTGAACGATTGGAATTGGCAATCATATAATCCAGTTCCAACTGTTCAGAATGTGCCAAGAGAATGACTTCCTCCCATATAAAGAATTAATGTGGAAGGTGAAAAACCAGGAAAAAAATCATTAGGAACACTTCGAAATGTCATCCTTCTATTCTGCACTGCAACTATAGTTTTTTTCTTATAGCCAGTAATTTTCAGACAGAGAGAGAAGACATCTTATTTGCATTTACAAAACGTAAATAGTTGGCACAGGAGAGCAAGAAAGACTTGGATATTTATGAAGGTACAAGCTGGCAGTTGTTCATTTCTGGCAGCACACAGTACTCTTCTTTTGAACCCCTGGCAGTCAAGGTGAAGAAAAAGTCTGAAGCCTTTGCACTGGAAAAGAAGCTTACTCCATTGGCAGACGAGGCCAAGCCATGCACACCAAAGCCTGGGAGGATCATGACTACTGCCCCCCAGAGGAAGTCAAATGTGGCTGCAGTTGGTAATTAGGGTTTTAGAATGACATGCATAACCTGGACGAAATGGTCAGAAATTAAGTGACTGAAATTCAATAAGGATAAATGCCAAGTCTTGCACTTATGAAGGAACAATCACATGCACAACTACAGATTGGGGAACAACTGGCTAAGTTGCAGTACTGCATAAAGGATCTGGGAAATGCAGTGGATTGTAAACTGAATATGAGGCAACAACAGTAAGCTCTTGTTGCAAAATAAACTAATAGAATACTAAACTGCATTAACAAGATCATTGCATGCAAGTGAAGTCAAATGATTCTTCTTCTCTATTTGTCACTGGTGAGACTTTACGTAGCATGATTGTACGGTATTGGTCCCCAGAATTCAAGAAATACCTGGACAATTTGGAAAGAGTCCAGAGGAGAGGAACAATGATTACAGGTTTAGAAAACATGACTTACAAAAATAGTTTGGAAGAATTGAGATTATTTACTCTTGAGAAGAGAAGACTGAGGGTGAATTTGATAACAGTTTTTAACATGAATGACTGGTGCCTCCCAAGACTAGGGGGCACCATGGCAGTGAGTGGGGACCACCCACAGATGCTGGTGTCAGTGTCAGCAGCGGTGAGCAGGGATTGTCTGCAGATGCTGACGGCGGTGTCGGCAGAGCAGGGTGGGGTGGTGAGTGGTGAGCGGGGATCACCCGCAGATGCCGGCAGTAGTGTCAGCAGCGATGTGGGTAGGTGAGCAGTGACTGCCCGCACAACCTGGCGGCAACTTTAGCAGTGGCCAGTCTCAGGGGGGGCACGTGCCTCCCCATGCCCCCGCCACATGTTGCCTATGGTTTTTAAATACCTGAAAGGTGGTTAAGAAGAGGATGTTGATAGACTATTCTCTGTGGCCGCAAGAGACAGAACAAGGAGTAATGCTTTTAATTTGCAACACGGGAAATTTAGGTTGGATATTAGGAAGAATTACAAGAGTGGTTAAACATTGGAACAGATTACCCAGAGTGGTTGTAGAATCTTCATTCTTGGAAGTTTTTAAGAGCAGGGCAATCCTGCCTTGAGTAGGGTGTTGGATTAGATGACCTCCCAAGGTCCCCTCCAGCCCTACTTTTCTATGATTCTATAAAAGGAAAGCATTATCAAGAGATCTTCTGTTGGATTTTATTATGGGGCTTGCATCATGTCATTCTTACATGCATATTATACCTTACATGAGTGATGGCAAGCTGAGGCCCAGAATGACTTGTAGTCTTTCAGGAAAAAAAGAAAATTGGCATATAAAATTATATACAGAAGGTCCTCTCAGATAAACAGGTTCAATGAGAACTAAATGTATCTCACTGTAAAAACTCCACAGTGATATAGCAAAAGTGATAATGATGCTATTATACTAGTGTAAAAACCGGTATAAAGTATCACAAAGTAAGAAAAATTAGAACAAATAAAAATAGCATTTAATAGTGAATGAATTTGACAGGTCAGTCAGCATTACTTTATTTATGTTGAAGTACACAATAGCCTTTTTGTAGGGAGTTTTGTCCATGAATATACTTAATAAAGGAAGAGTACAAAATGCCTTGGGTTTTTTGGGTTATTGTCCTTAAAGTTTGGGAAACTACAAAGAAGGGGGTACTTGAGGTGCTCTGACATAGTGCTTCACCTCACTTAATGAATATTTACTGTGAAAAGTTTCCTTCATGAATGCTTTAATTTGTTAACATATTCCTAGTATTAATTCATTTGTATCTCACAAAGAATTTATAATAAAACAAAACATCTACCCAAAATTAAAAAAACATGAAACTGAACTATTCCTTCTAGTCATAATTTGTTCTTCCATGATTTCATGAAAACCACTCAGCTATAACCCAGTAATTAAAGTCATGTTCCTGCTGTTCTTAATCAGGCAAAATGTGCAGTGTTATCAATGGAAGTTTCTTCTGAGTAAAAATCACTGTTTAACTTAGCATGGGATTCAATGTCAATCAGCACATTTCTTGTGTGGGAAGAAAATTCATGTTTTAGAGCCATTGCTGTTGGACTTACTGTAACACATTTCTAAAAGAAGGAAATACAGTGCCTTACCTTCACTGCCCTTTTTGGTGTTTCAGCCAAAATAGGAGGAAGTATGCCTTTGTAGAAACCAAATAACCTATTTAAAAAAACAAACAAAAGATTTTGTACGTAAGCATTAGTCAGCATATTTTCATTTCTGGGTACGGCAACTAATCTTAGAGCATTCCCAATAATTCAGAACAACTCTCATGGTCAATAAGGAAGCACTATTTTTTGTCACGTAGCTACCAATTCCACTGCATGCTGGTGGAACAACTGTCAGCAGCAATGCTAACACTAGAAAAGTGCATTCTGTGAGGAACCTGACCCAATAGGTGGGTATTAGATAAGCTATAATGTCTTCCAGTCCAGGGAAGTTAAACAGAGAACACTTAATTTGGGCATCTTGATTAGTTAGATACTACATTTTGTTTTGCCATTTAATTTGGGGTAGAAAAAGAATGAGAGCGAGTGGCAAGGCTTGATAGAGTTAGCACGGCAAGAGAATAAAAAAAGAAGAAATGGAAATGACCGTGATTTGAATCTGATCCACTGCTCAAACTTCAGTCAGTTGGCAGAGTTTTGTCTAATGTACAGTAGGAGCACCTACATGTGCGCTTTCCTGCGCAGTTGACTAATTAGCTCCACAGTAAAGCATCACAGTCTACATGTATGCTCATTTTAGGGCACAGTAAACTATTTAACTCCTCCATAGGATAGTTAAGTAGGATATTTAGGTAAGAATTCCTATGGTGGAGTACTTACATGCACTCAAAAGCACATGTAGACTGTGACTGGGGTTGGCTGTGGCACAAGGATGCTACAGTGAGGGGGCTTCCTGCTGGCCAGCCTCACACTGTAACACCCTTGTGCCCCAGCCAGCCCCTCTGTGGCCTGGCACTGCCATCCGGGACCTAGGGCTGGTCCTCCAGGGCTTCCTGCTCCAAGTCAGCTGCTCCCAGGCACAGCATCTTCACATGCACCCAGAACTGCCTCAGCTCAAATTGCTGTGGTCCCAGGCACACATAAATACACTGCACCTGGGAGCAGCTGACTCCAGCGCAAGCTGCACTAAAGTTTATTCAGGCACATTAATATCATGTGCAGATACACCCAGTCTGTCTCAGCAACTTTAATGCCTGAGATGAAGATCAAGAAATCAGCCACTTTTTTTCCAGTAATGCCTTACAACCAATACACTTAAAATGTACAATCATGTAAAACCTCAAGTATTTTATTTGCAAAAATTCAAAACACTAATGTAATGATAATGGAAATGTGGGTGGTTCTAAAACCAGCAAGAAACAATAAATGCATGTGTGGATGTAAGGGTTTTATTTTTTATCCTTTTTCTTTTTCCTTGATCAATAACACTGCATCAGTCCATTTATACACGGTATGTGAAATCTTTCAAAGCCATTAATTGACTAGTGACATGTAACAATTAAAGATATCACCTGGATTTAGATTTTCATCAAAAAACTTGTGTTCAGCAAAATTATAGAGCTGCAACAATAATCACTGAAGCATGAAACAGAAGAGGGAGGAAGTGACATCAGATCCACAATTTGGAGAAATTGGAAAGAATTAACAAGTAAATCTCTAACAGAAACACAACTTCAACATTTTATTTTGCTTTACATTAAAGATCTAACTGAACATCACCATTCAATTGTATTCTGGGCACCAGCCCAAACTCATCTTTGGAATACTTGATTTTGAAACATTACAGTCAATCATATCTTCTCAATTTGTTCTTCTTTCAGGCTTTAGGCATCCTTCTGGTTTCCATTTCTTGTTTGGAAGCCTTGAGTCATCCATCCTGGCAATATGACCAACCCAAATCAGTTATTTTCTCCAAATTATATTGAAATTGGGTTCTTGGTTAGTTTGTTGTTTTCTTCCCCTGTCTTTCACATAATTTTCCCTTTAAGGATCTAATACAAAGCTGATTGAAGGCATGCATACAATATTCTCTTTCTTCTATTGCTGTCAAATCCAAGTCTCTTATCCACATAGTTCTGTAATTGAAACAACGACACTAAATACCTTTAGGGCCCTATTCTGCCTTTACTTCCACAGCACAATCCTAGAATTTAAAACAAAGACCAGGGTTTCATGGCTCTGTCATTTTGGTTATATGGATTTGGTAATGTGAATTCATAAAATCAAAGGCACCCTGAGGACATATTCATTTATGTGGGATGGGGAGAGAATCATTTAGCAATGGAGAAAAGCATTTTCAAATGTGGTAAAAGTTACCTACATCTTTACCCTCTACAGGAATCAAAGTATGTTCCTACTGTGTGTAATCCAACATGTTAAGAGTTTGTTACTAACACAAGATAATATTCTACTGAAAACAAGGCACCTGTATTTTTAACATGAGTGAGCAGTTTGAGGTAAATTCTAGGAACCCTGATGGCTTGACAATGAACTGTTAATACTTGTAGAGATTACATGTTACATGTTACCATATGATCACTAACATGAGGTAAGAGCAAACATTTAGCCTAATAAGGATGCACCCTAGATTTGTCTTTTTTTTAATGTCAAAAACAGTTTAACAGAGGAATATCAGGTAAAGCTTTCATTGACACATGGGCTATGTACAGATATTCAAAAAGCCCCTGGTGTAAGCACTCTGGGTGCAGACAGAAATGCAGTTCCCTGGTTTAACTCATGGCACTTTGCAAAAACGCTATGAGTTAGACAGATCCTCCTGAGCCAACAGACATTAGCTGCTGTCTTGGGAGGGTGGAGCGAGCTGATTCAGGGAGAAAGGCTGCATGTATGCACCCTCTCTCCCTTAACTCTGACCCTCCCCTTGCAGTTCTGGTGCTGTCTCAGGATGGGTGGGGGAGCAGGCTGGGAAGGGGGGTCCATTCTGGGAGTTCCCCAGCCAAATTGGAGTGGGAGGGAGAGTGGATTGGAGCCCCCCAACCCGGGGGGGGGCGGGGCAAATCTATCTGTCCCCAACACTCCAGCATGGCTGGGGAACCCCCAGAAAAGACTTATTTCCCCTGCCTTCTCCCCTCTCCCATTCTGTAAACATTGCTAGGAGCAGGGCTGGGTGGCATCAGCTGAGCCTTGCTCCTGGTGTATGCAGGTGCAAATTAGTGAACACGCTCCATTTTGGAGTACCTTCGTCTGAACCCCCATGCAATTAGGGTTCAGATTGTCATGACATTGGGCCTTTTAAAGTGCTCTGCAGCCATGTACTTGTGCTTGGTCAGGGCTGTAGACCTCTTTCTGGGGCCAGATTGGACAGAAATTGTCATGTCTGTCTGTGCTTTCTAACTTACCACACTTTACTCAGAGTGCAATAAGTTAGAGAAAGAGCCAAATGAACAAGTGTTCTCTATTCAGTGGAGGGGACTTGCAGCCTGCTCATGCTGGCCACTGGGGGTGCTCCCACATGCCTCCTAGGAGGATGCTAGAGTGGCCCCTCTCCCCAGCTTCACCCCATCCCCTTGCCAGCTGGGGGGGGAAAACCGAAGAGTAAAAGAGCCCCCGC